CACACCATGCGGGTCCTTTGTTTCGCACGTCTCTCAGCTATTTCTATCGATCTTTTTGCCACAGCAATCACCCGTCAGCGGGGTTGATCTGGGGAGCGCTGAGAGCTGAGGGACGTGCTAAACAAAGGACCCGCATGGTGTGGTGGTGAACGCGTTACTCCCCGGAAAGGATAATAGCGCGTTCGTTCCCCACCATAGACACCTGCGGTCCAGAGTTTTGCAAATATCTCAGCAACGTTGTGGTTGTATTACACTCTGTAATGTTTGTGTAATATGCTTCACTAAGGCTAGATACTTTATGCTTATTTTTATTTCTTCTTATGTAGTGTGAACTACTTGTACCCTACAAGGAGTTGGTCTAATAGTGTCTTTTTCCACTGAACGAGAGGAATTTTGACTTCTCAATTATTGGTCCAGCTTTCAGGCAGATACATGTTTGTGTTGCGAAGCTAACGGTTCGTCACCACCTCCACTGGATCAGTAGTGTAAACTCTTGCAGGCAGAGAAGTTCGAAATTGATAAATACGTCGTTTTCGTTCTTAGCATTCGCGAGGTTGTTATACGACACAGGTTTACTTCCGTACAAAAGCACATCCAGTACAACGGTAGCTGACGCCTCGGGGTATCGTCTTCTGCAGAGCCGTATTTTATGTGCAGGTAGAGTAGTAGATGTATACTATATAACAACCTCGCGATTGCTAAGAAAGAAAACGACTCATTTATAATCCAATGTCGAGGTTAAGAGAAAGTCGATCCTGAGGACTTCAAAATTAATTTTATGATCATCTGATGTCCGTGTGAACTACGTTTTCCGTATCTTCACGGATCAGGGATACATATTTGGAAACTTGGATGGACTGTCTTCACTAGTATTGCAGGTCCCAATGCATCTTCCCTTCGTTTTTCTCTTCCGTAGTCGTTATCTATGGTGGTAGTTTACTTCGAATATAGTGACGTCAACTACGCACGTTCCGTTGTGTTATTCGTTTCCGTCTGCGAATGCAGTAAGTCATGATGATATCCGTCCACCTTTCAGGTGGTCGTCCGAAAGAGTGTTTGCGTCCTCTCTGAGTCCACTCCATTTTTTTGTACACCTCTCATCTTTTCTTATTACATGACAGGCCTGTCCTCGTTTCGCAAACCCAGTCCAACGTTCTTCCCGGTCTATTGAGCTCTTTGAACGTCGTCGCTCTTTCGCTGATACTCTTCGGAAGGATAAGATCGTCACCAAAGCGGTAATTTCACAAAATGTTGCCATCAAAACATGTGCCGTTGTCGTTCCATTCGAGATATCTTCACCGAAATCTCGAAGTAATTATCGACTTCCTTAGAGAATATATCTGTAGCATTTCTTGCATTTATCTGGTTAGACTTTTACGTCTGTTTGTTTTTTGCTACCTTTTTCCTTCTTAGACCATTAATAGGGTTTATTCTTTCTCTTCTTGTTTGTTTGCTTATTCGCTAATGAGTTCCCACATACTGAAGTTTGTCAGTAAAATCGCTTAATAGTTCTTGATAATGTAGCCATTTGTTACCACGTTGCCGTTTATAAGCGTTAAGTTTGTGAGTGTTGAATTTAGTACAGTTTATGTATCATGTTTAGGTTGCGTAGTATTCAATGATGAAATCTGAATATTGTCGTGGGTTATGCAAGGGCTTTGTTTGGGTAGACTCACGTCCAGTGCTTTTAGATCTGTTTCTGTTCGGTTATCGTTAAGGGAATGCGTTCTACTCGCCTACAAAGTTGTTCTGTTCTTTCATCTTTGTGTTAGATGGATGATTCAACACGGTTTAGGTAAAAATGGATAAATTTGGTTTAAGGAAGAGCGTCTATTTGGTAATATCCCAGCCCAAAGTGATGTTACCTCTGCAAGAAAGTGTTTGACCAAAGGACCCCATGGAAGGATTTCTATGCTCGGCAGAATCTGACAATCCAACAAATATTTAGAAATTTGACTGACTGATACTTTGGGGTCTTCTGCTGAAAGTAAAATGACCTTTGCGCCTAATACGGTTTTTTCGCCTCAAAATATAGGTTCTGATGTTGTTTGCAAAATTTATAACTTTTATTGGTGCAATCAGGAACAGACAAGAATAACGAAATATTATTGGAAGTCCTTATTGTCGTTGTAGATGCTCCTCCCTCCTACTTGGCCGCTTTTTTTTTTCAACGATTCTCTTCGCTGTACCATTGGTCCGCGTTTCTCTTAAAGTAAAATTACATGGTAGATTGATCATCTATTCAAAAGAGAAGCCAATGCCATTTCTATTTCACTGTAATTTGCTTATAGGATTAAATTGGAATCTACGAAACTAGTAGGCAGCTACCGGGGAGCAGCTGTTTCGCTTCGGATAATTGCTTGTTTAGAGTGCCCAAATTGTTCGGTGTACAGTGTAGCTTCAATTTCGGAAGTAGTGATCCAACTAGTACGACATTACACGCATTCTGTTCGAATTGACGGAATGTTCAGAAATACTGGCGGGGATACATTTCTGGAACATCAGGCTCCACATCGTGTTAGGATTGGTTACTTTCGTTAAAAGTCCTATAGAACTAGGAAACTGGAAGCACAGAGAAGAGGGTCGCTTTACCACACTTGTACTCACTCATCCTAGAACATTGTTTTCATACGAATTGTCATATCGGATGTATCTAATAGAAAAGCTTGTAAACGGAACCTTGCCGAAAGACGGCTCAGCTAGAATACTTGACCAGCCACGGCCGGCGAATCCAGGTCTGAAGTTTCCCCGTCCAGACACCAGACCCGCCCCTCCTGACGGAATCCATTTCACCGACCTCGTGAAGAAGTCACCTGCAGAGTAAGGAATCAGAGCAAAAATCCATTTAATGTCGTCAGATAGTTTGCGACCAGTTATAGGAGGTGCATATGAAAGTCCTAATTTAGAAAATGTGGACCAAATCCATTTACTCAATTAGGTCGATCTACGTATGATTTTGTTTACTCCAAGCATTCCATCGATGAATTGGATAAGTGTTGGCTTTCCTGGAACGACTACAATGGATCACACTTTCAGTTACACTTTTGCAAAATAACCTTTGCAGCAGCGTCAGTATCGTACTAACTTCCCATTCTTCTATAGATCGGAAGTATGAGAAACACGAATTAATCACTGCTTAATCAAAATCCAAGGACTTGGAGTGCCCATGGAAATTTTGGCCAACACACAAGTGCTTTCCTCCTCACTGTGAATTATATGGCGTTCAGTTTAAGATTCAATTTTGACTGCACGAATAGATCTTCAACGAAATGCGACCGTTCAACCTGTTTCATACCTCAGCTCGGCCTTCTACATTTCAGTGGCCTACATGAGTTTTCCCTGTCTAGATCCAATTAACACTTTCGCGACAAATCTGATATTTTGGAAACAGAAAGTGACAGTAAGTATTGGAGAAGTTGAGAACTTTGCATGCTTATAGAAGAGATCCCACCTTGCTCTCTTAAAGTTGTGCACAATTTTTATAGATTTTTTATTTTATAGTTCCCGGGAAATATCGGGTGAAAAATTAGATCACTAGAACTTCCCACTTAAGCGCAGCTACAAATTGCAACGATACATTGTGAGAACGCCGTCATGTCTTACTGGACGGAATCCCGCTTCTATAGTTTTATTCGGTTTCGAATCATGAGGCTTGGTACAAAAAAAGGAATAACAAGAAAGACGTTTCATCATCCTAGAAGAACGAAAATTTCCTACTAGTAGAATAAGGAATCTGATTGTCTGCAGATTCTAATGGCTTCTGTTTTACTTAATAAAGTTTAATATAAGCTAAAATATTTTTGTTAAGAATTTAGCCGTTTTCTTCGGGCCATTTGACTCCGAGTGAGGTCAAGTCATCTTGTATGTGCTAAATATGGGTCATTGCAATGACATCTATGCTTTCAATTGCCTACGACTCACTTTGATCCTTGGCCCGAACGCCATTGATTCTTCCTTTTAGAGTTCGTACATAGAAAGTATCAGCGAAATAAAGGTCTGTAATTCGATTATTCATGATTTTATATCGCAACCCAGATGCTACTGCGTAGTTTACGACCACTGCAGCTCGTAAATAGATTTAGGGTTTAATTGAACTGTATATACCTATGTACATACAGTGCAGTCAAAGAAGAATTAACTAGTGAATTAGAGAAAATTGTAGAACGGCCAGCAGGAAATTTCTTGCAGAGGTCGTTTTTTAGCCCTTACGAGACGGCATGAGTTCTACAGTAACCATAGGCTGCACAAATGAGGGCCGATTTCTACTTTAAATCTGCATATCTCAGTTCATAGCGAATTTTGCCAATTGCAATAAAAATGCAAGTCCTTGCCTACAGGATGAAAGTTCTCTTATATTACCATGACAAAATTCAGATCTTCTATAACTCGTGGTAGATATCCCTTCCACTTTTTTCCAATAAAGCTCATATTTCGAACACAAAAGGAAATGAACAAGCGGGATTTCGTCTAGGATGACGCGATGCTGTTCCCAATATATCATCCTTGTTTGGGGCTGCCGCTCTTTCATTGGAAATCTTAAAGGGTCAGATTTCACCATCATTTCCTTGGAAATTGTAGTTCTAAGCATATACAATTTTGAAAGGACACTGTGTTTAAAAATGTATGCAATCACAGCGCTAATGAGATATTGACAAAACTCCGGACCCCAGGTGTCTGGGTAATAGCGTGTTCCGTCCACCACGGACACCTGCGGTCCCGAGTTTTGCAAATATCTCGGCTTCACTACGGTCATATATCACACCCTGTCGTGAAAAAGTATAGTAGGCGGAAAACAAAAGGTTAACAATGTATGCAATACAGCCACAACGTTGCTGAGATATTTGCAAAACTCTGGACCGCAGGTGTCTATGGTGGGGAACGAACGCGCTATTATCCTTTCCGGGGAGTAACGCGTTCACCACCACACCATGCGGGTCCTTTGTTTCGCACGTCTCTCAGCTATTTCTATCGATCTTTTTGCCACAGCAATCACCCGTCAGCGGAGTTGATCTGGGGAGCGCAAATCGGCATAGAACCCAGTTAAGCTATGGCTGTAGTTGAAATCACAATGCTTAACGTTAACGTTTATATCTATATATATCTCAGCAACGTTGTGGTTGTATTTCGCTTAGTAACCTGCCGTGAAAATTACAGAAGGCAGAAAACAAAACGTTAAACAAACAATGTGCTGAGAGACGTGCGAAACAAAGGACCCGCATGGTGTGGTGGTGAACGTGTTACTCCCCGGAAAGGGCATGCAATATTTTTTTTCTGTTAGCAAAAAATCAGCTTCGCCGCGAAAGGATAAAGGCTGTTCTTGCTCACACAACCGAGAACGAAACAGAACCGAAAGTAACCGAAGCGATCTTGATCATCGTTCTGTCGTTCCAAACTCTCTCCCAGTGACTTGGTCCTACCATATGCTTGCGCTATGCTGAAATAAAAGTGGACTTACTGTTCCAATCGGCTGTAATTGACGCTATGAAAGCGAACAGAAATCCAAGGATGGCGTGCATGTGCATTTTGCACCTGAAATCGTCGATTATGAATTAAAACGAAGTTGTCGGTTCGTTGCGGCACCAAGGGAGAGATTACGATTTGTCCATGGGAAATGTTCTCGTCACAATTATTACACTGAATCGCAGTTTGAGCTGGTGTCCACGGTAGGACATTCTACAACACAGCACCTAATGAGGTCTTCATAGTGAATGTCAGTGGAGGAGTGCTCATTGTAGTCATGATGAAAATCGTTAGAGCAATAGCTCAATCCTACTCCAGAAGTCGAAGTCAGGACAAATTCTAGCCAATGGTACTGCCTTATTATGAGTTCTTCGTGAATATCATATAGGAACAGCAGTCGTAAGATGGGATAGAGTATGACTGATGGAAAGTGGGACCGTCAGACGAATGATGTCGATGGGCGGACGAGAGCGTTCCATTTCAACCGTTTAATCCGTTTAAATAGCTTCGATCATGGCGTGTGTGTGTGTGTGTGTGTGTGTGTGTGTGTGTGTGTGTGTGTGTGTGTGTGTGTGTGTGTGTGTATGCATTTAGTACTGAAAAGCTACTAATTAGTTTTCGAATCAAAGTGAATCCCACGAGAAAATAGATAATTAAATTTAATGTTTGTTCTGTAACTAGCCGAAAGTTTCCTTCACTCGTTCATCTACAAGCCCTTTCAGCGTCTTCAATGCCAAGAGAAGAGGTGCCCACGCATGTCAACTATGCTGTACTTGGCCATCTTCGTTGTTTCTGATTGTTCTTTGTTTGTATTGGTAAAGGTGATATGTCTCATACGTAACAACGACGATGAGCTCAAAAGATCCATCTGTGCAACAGTCTTACATGGAAGTTCTTTTTTCATTTCTTTGTAATTTCTATCTTTTTTTCGAGAATAAAAAGCTCACTTTCAAGAAAGAAGAAACATTACCGGTGGGCGTGAGAGTGCGCTTACTTCATAGCCCATTCAATGTTGGCATAGAACACCATAACAAACGGCATATTAAATATATCATGCCTCAACAGCGGTAAGGAGAACAGAGACCATGCTCCACCTCGTAGGTTCTCTATGCTATCATGTTGTTATCTTCAGATCGCTGTTATCTCCATGAACACTATTCCGTGTTGTTTAGCGTTTACCTGGACAATCTGAAAAATCATGTTGATTATTCACGCTGAGGTTAAATGATGGTCGATTTGTAAAAAGTTATCTCAGCTTTGCAAACATCATTTCGACTTAATCCGTTCAATCGTGGCGTCACGATTCTTCTGTTCTCAAGAAGAAAGTGCCGAGTGGCTAACGAGAAGGAGAACAGGATCTATCCACTGTGAACAAACGTTTTAGTGAACTATCAATACTGATGGTGCATACTTGACACCCCCACACTGCCATTTTCCGTGCTCAAGCACACTTCAGTACGAGATTGCATTTCCTGCCAACAGCACACGGGTATCGAAAGTCCACACACAATTTTTTTTGAGTTGCATGCTAACTGCTTCGTACAACGCATGTGAATCCCAGTGATATGATGAAGTTGTTTTTTAAGAGAATTTTCTCTAAAGCCATTCAAGTTAAGACCTTTGCTTAGGTCTCAAGGTTCACCTTTGACTTGTTATAGTGCTATTGAAATATCTTCTGAAACAAAATTAGATCACCCAAAATGGAACCATATTTCATAGTTTTGGTCTTGGATGGACAAAATTCACTTTCATCGAGTACAGACCTTAACCAAACCATGAATTCAGTTGTACAGTGAGAAAAGTGAACGGCTGATGGACGAATGGAGCAATTCATTAAGCAAAGCGAATGATCAGACGTCACGGAAACGATGCACTAAATCCACATGTACAATATTTATGGCGGAGCAAATGAGTAAAAATATTTTGATACCTGTTGCAATGATCAACCTTCTGTGAATGCTGCAGGTGACAATATATTGCCCATTCGTGTCGTTCCTTTACACCCGTTAATCATAGTAATGGCATACTCTTAGCATTCCGATAAATGGGAGTACCATTGCGTAATCTATTAACACACTCCAGACTCGTGGCGTTTGGCGTCACTACTGCTTGGGACGATGCCCATCCAGCAAACGTTATGGGCGTGTTGATTTTCCGAAAATAGGTGACAGTTTCTTGATAACAAGTGGACTTTAGGGGCTGTGAATATGAAGCGATTTTAGAAAAGCCTTTTCTCTGTCGTTTTATGGGTATAAATGGTATATATGCTCCTAAAGTTATTTAGTGCATGTTATTGAAGTCCTCCCCCAACTGTTCACCGCCTCATCGTGGGTAGTGGCCGTCCAAGTATCCAAGTAAGTATTGAAGTCCATAATACAAATACAT